TCAGCTTCACCTGGTTCTTACGTATGGCCCCGCGGAAGTTTTTAGCGAGAATATTACTAACTCAGGGACCAGAAAAGTTGCAAAGCTGAAATTTTAACGGAATGTTCTCTCTCCGAGTACCGCGTAGTTGCACAATTAACTTCCCGAACTCCGAAGACAGTATATCACAATTTCTAGCTACTGGGTTCTCGAGCGATTTCAGAACAGCACGAAATACTGCAAACACGCATGATCGCGTAGGCCCGCCTAGTGCGAGTCGCCAGTAATTAAGCATCCAGACTGTCACACTGGTACGCTGTTTTTTGTCGAGGAACACAGCTGTCCGCATGGGTGATTTGTATGTGTAAATTCCAGCAGGACGTCGAGATGAAAAAATGAACAGAGCGTGCGCGAAATGAAGGGAGATGGTGCGAGGAATCGCGAGCCGCTGAGGCACGAATGCAGAAGCAGCAACGACCGAGGACTGAGGTGACAACAAACAATTTTATGCGCAAGTGTGGTGCAGCAGCTACTCGAAATGTTGACCAAAAAAGGCAGCAGCTTCGTGGTGGGGAGTATGCCAGTGCTTGTACACCTTGCATCAGATCAATCGTTTCCCGAACCAAGTGCCAGTCAGGAACCAGCGCTGCTGTAGTATAACACATTGCCTGCAGGAAGCTGCTAAAAACTGAAAATTACCGATAAGAAGTGTACGCGCTTCTCTGCCTCCCAGGTAGCACTATACGCTTGTGTTGAGCACGATAATCTGTAAACTGCGGTTGCAAGCCAGAAATCGCGCAGTTTATGTATGTATTTCAAATCACTGTCTGTGTGATTCGTCGGAAAAGTATAATTCCAGGGACAGGTTCTAGTCTGTCCGCGTGGTCAAGCTTTATATGTAATGGAGCTCGACTGGACAGGGCTTTAACAAATTCCTCCACATTTCCAGACTTGTGTGAATGCAGGAGCCGTGGTTTCAAGCACAGTTGTATTTCGGAAATTAAACTTTTAAGTAAGAACTACTGCGTACGCAAATCACACCAAATAAATGTTATAATACAAAGTACATCAGCACTGCTGCACACATGTACAAACCCTTGTCGCGAGAGCCATCTAGCAAAGAATAAATAGCGAAGCGCACCAGGATGGTGCAATCATGCGTTTTGCGCAGTTCCGTTCAGCGGACGTTTGCTTGCTAAAAATATGACTGTTTTACACTTTCATATATGAAAAACAATAGATATGCTGCCTAGCCACAAAGGTGAGGAATTTCTCAGTGGAAATTTCACATACCGGTATGTGAAAGCTGAATTTGAAAACATGAATGGGGAACACCCCTCGAAATTTTAATATTGTTTTTCGGCTTCAGAGCTAACGACTTCCACATCACAATTCTCAAGTAGCTTTACATAAGACCTCTGCATATTTGGGAGCTATATTTGAGTATGTGAGATACTGCAGCGGCAGAAAATATCGTCCTGAAATTTCAGTTTTCTAGATTTCATGATCTCCGAGATAATTTTCCACCAAAACTTTCACGGGGCCATACGCGATACCCAAGTGCACGCGAAAACTGAATTTAAATTTTCCGGCTCTGGGCTAAAAATTTTTCCTTTTCTGTCAAGGGGCATACCCATAAAGTCTCAGCTTCCTAGCATTCGCGGTTCCTGAGATAACGATTTCACCCGCTAAAAATTTAAGAGACTGTGCGTGTTACCCGCAGACACAGGAAGGTTGAGTTTAAGTTCTCTAGGTCGCACGCGGGCAGAGGACATACCCATAAAATTTCAGCTCCCTAGCTTCTGTGGTTCCCGAGATAAAGGTTTTATCCGAAAAACTTTTACGGTGCCGTACGTGTTACCCGCGAGTACAGGAAGTTTTCTATGTTTCGAGTTTTCTGGGTCGCACGTGGTCAAGGGACATACGCATAAAATTCCAGTTTTCCAGCTTCCGTGGTTCCCAAGATAATGATTTTACCTGCCAAAAATTTTACGAGGCCGTACGTGTTACCCGCGGGTACGGGAAAGCTGAATTTAAGTTTGCCGCGTCAACTGTTAGTGGGGAGCACTACACTAAAATTTCACCCAGCTAGCTTTTGTGGTTTCCAAGTTAAAAGCGCGAGACAAAATGTGGGACACACACATACACACAGACAATTCCGCGACAATATGCGTTTTGTACTGCTGTTACGCAGCACAAAACGCGTAAAAACGACGCCTGCGCTCCCGCCATTGTGTTGATCAATGATTGTACGTTGTTATTACCCGCCTCGTTAGTTGTGGGCGAGATTTTGAAGTCAGGTCAGAAGAGTTGTTAATCTCCGGCCTAAATTTGTTGTTCCTGGAGAAATTAGAGTTTGTTTAGCACTACACTTCTGGATCTTGCCAATTGCAGTGATGTTCTGGAGCTTTTGGGGATTCGAATGCTTCTGGGCTTTTGGTGTCCTTATGCTTAGTCGGCTGCTGTGCAACGGATGTCGGCAGTTGTCGCGACTGTTTGTGAAGATACATTTTGAAAGGAGATTTTAATTGAAAGTGAAGAAACG